CCCTAACAATTTTAATTTAAAAGATTTGTATGCTGGTCAATGGTGATCTCACAGTTTTCTCCAAGAACAACTGGTGAGTATTTATATTACTAAAAAGCACATCATGATGATTTGCCTAAAATAAAGAAAGAGGTTATTCCCTCAAGATGGATGTAAGACTCTCAGGAGAAAAGATAAGGGTATTGTGGCTTTTTCCATAGCAAAGCTTCCCCATTCCTCTGCTCAGTGCACTCAGGGTTCACGAATTTTAGTGCCTGTGATGAGAAGCAGGGCTCCCCCAACCATTACATCGCAGCCATTTTGGGAGTTAGAGACTCCCAGGTAGGAAGAAACTCTGGAATTACTCAGTCTGTCTCCATCAAATGACCTCTCAGGTCTGACCTCCATGCCTTTCATGATGGAGAGCTCCCTCCTTCTAGACAGGTCCATCACTGGTAAGCTCTGATGGTAGAATCGTCTTCCTAGCCTCCACGCTGCCTCAGTCCCAGCCCTTGGGGACACACAGAAGGCTACTGCTCTTCCCAGGACATCTCCCCATGGAAGTGCATCTTCTCTAGTCTGAGCACTCTGACTCCCACTCCCCACCCTCCTACCCCTCAGCCCCCAAGCCCAGTCCACAAGCCCAGTCCACAGTCTTTTTTTGTTTGTTTGTTTTGAAACAGTCTCGTTCGGTTGCCCAAGCTGTAGTGCAGTGGTGCGATCTCAGCTCATTGCAACCTCCACCTCCCGGGTTCTAGCAATTCTCCTGCCTCAGCCTCCTGAGTAGCTGGGATTACAGGTGCCTGCCACCATGCCTGGCTAATTCTTTTGTATTTTAGTAGAGATGGGGTTTCACTGTGTTGCCCAGACTGGTCTTGAATTTCTGAGCTCAGGCAATCCACCTGCCTTGGCCTCTCAAAGCACTCCACAGTCTTCTACAGTATGATGTTTCTAGTCCCTCCCCACACTGGCATCCTGGGGACATGGCCCATCAGCCTGGCTCCCACCCCACGGGGCAGAGCAGGGCATCACAGCTGCCAATCATGTTCTGGAAAATACACTCCAAGTCAGCCTTGCTTCTCCTTAGCAATAGCTGGCACTTGTGTTATAAGCTGGCTCTGCAGGGCTTGCAGCTACAGCCACCAGTATCAACACACACTCTCACTTGCACCTTCGAGTCCACAAGTACACTTCACCTGGTTTAAAGCAGAAACAGGCTGGGCACCACGGCTCACGCCTGTAATCCTAGCACTTTGGGAGGCCGAGGAGGCCGGATCACAAGGTCAGGAGTTCAAGACCAGCCTGACCAACATGGTGAAACCCCATCTCTACTGAAAATAGAAAGAGGCCGGATCACAAGGTCAGGAGTTCAAGACCAGCCTGACCAACATGGTGAAACCTCCATCTCTACTGAAAATGGAAAAAAATTAGCCAGGCATGGTGGCATGTGCCTATAATCCCAGCTATGCAGGAGGCTGAGGCAGGAGAATCGCTTGAACCTGGGAGAAGGAGGTTGCAGTGAGCCAAGATCGCTATATTGTATCCAACTCAGGCGACAGAGTGAAGAGACTCCATCTCAAAAAAAAAAAAAAAAAAAAAAAAAGGCAGAGGCAGATGACTCCAGTGGCAACACAATGAGAACTCTGGAAGATGGTGACATGAACACCTGTCCCTACCTCCCACTTGCCCACTGCCCCTCAACACCCTCTTCAGAGCAAGCGGGGAAGGGGCTTTGGCGAGCACCCTGGCAAACTGGGTTGCCAGTGCTTTTGTGAGGAAGCAAACAAATTTACCAAAAACAATGTCTACATCAGTCAATTCATCATATAATCAATTTGGCCAATGACCAATTTGCAAATTATTTTTAAAATTTAAATTTTGCTGTAGCCATTTTGCCATTTTTTTTTTCCTTTTCCACTGGCTGAATTGCTCACAGGTGCTGAGTTTGGGGGAACGCTACCATTAACAGGGTTCTCCGGGAGCAGGGAGGCATCCTCCAGGGTCTCAGCAGAGGCCGGCCAGGTCAGTCACTGCCAGTCCAGAGGAGCAGAAGCCCATGTGCCTCTCACTCTGGTTGGGCTATGACAGCTGGAGTCGGCTGCTGAAGGTACAGGGAGCCATGAGCAGGCAAAGAAAAAATCCACAGATGTAGGGGACAGGAACCAGAGGGAAGCTGACCCAGTGGAAGAACTGGGACAGGTGTCTCTGTCTGAAATAGATCTGGGCAAGATCCAGGAGACAACTTGGACAAAAAAGAAATACTCTTAAAGAGATCCAGTGGGAGTGAAGTAAAGATTTTTTGAAACTTAAAAGAAGTGGTTCTTAAAGCTTGAAGTATGGACATAATAAATGAATACATTAATTAGAGAATTGTCTCTATTGAGAATTAAAATAATGACAGGAGATCAGGAGTAGAAGTATCTCAAAACCTAGGGCCCAAATGCAAAGAGAGAAAAATCAGGGAGAGAGAGTGAAGAAGAGAAATTCCGTAGACCTCAGTGAAGGGCTGGGAGAGGACTTCTGTGCTAGGACAGGGCCGTTTAACATAACGAGAAGAATACAGGGTGCTTCGTGTATGTAAAGATGAGAATGCTCATTGCTAATAGCTGAGAAGCCAGAGGGAGTTTTCAAAATCATGGAGTAGAGAGGACAGGAATACATGGTTACTTGACAAAGCCAGGTGTAAGAAGGAAAAGGAAAAATAAAACAACAGCGAAGTAAGATAAACAGTAACCATAACTTAAGAGGGCAGAAATGAAACAAAGGTGCCCATTATTCCCATGAGAGGGAATTGACTGAATCCCCTGATTAAAAGACAGAGACCCCAGACTGAGTCAAGAAAGAAAACTTGGCTCTATCCTGTTTACCAGAATCTCATCTAGAATAAAATGATTAAGAAAGGTAAAAAATAAAGGTCTGGGCAAAAGGATGTCAGGAAAAGTGCCTCAGCCCTAACCACAACCATAGAAGAAGGAGTGGAAATAGTAATATCAAAGTGGGACTGAGGCCCAAAGACATTGAATGGGGTCAAGACAATGACACAACGAAAGCAAAATGAAGCATAGAAATAAGCATCATTTACTGAACTCTTGCTGTGTACATAGTACTGGGGAGTTCAAGGAATGATGCCATGTCGTCCCCACTATAGCCCCGTAAGGTAGATAATATCATTATCCCCATTTTACAGATGCATAAATCAAGGCCTAGAGACTTTAAGCAGCTGGTTCAAGGCTTCCACTCTGAAGCCCGCAATCTTGACCAGCGCACTCTTCCTTGCCCCTTACTTCATGAGAGCAAGAACAGCATTCTACCCAGGGCTGGCACTGCTGTGGAGCCTATTGCACCTTTATGATGTAGACTTTTGGGGATATAACCCACGTGAACACCTCTAACAATTTTTTAAATATACCAGATTGACTTGTTTTCGATGGAATGATTCCGTCTATTGATCAAAGCCACTCTACCACCTGCATCTTTTACCCCCGTAAAGTCTCTTCTCAACACGCTCATGCCTTGCCTCCTCTGCCTTCCTCAGGACGCATTAAGATGATTTGGGTCCATGTCCGTAAACCTTGATGGTCGGAAGCAATGTTTTTTTTTTCCTTCATGCCGGAGTCACGAGTGCTTCTGGCCCCATCATGATTTCCCTACATCAGAAACACCTACAAGGAAGTAGAGGTTCGATATGATTAAAGTAATCTGGTTCATAGGTGTTTTCATCAAGGTAATGATAAAGTAATTCGATTAATTAACAGTAAAATGTAATTAAGGGGAAGGGATTTTGCAGTAGTTCTTCCACAGCTCAGTTTAGCCGAGATGACATATTAGACTAGACTTCCGTTTCTGGTACCAGCGTGTGAAGCTGAAATAAACTCAGCATTCTCTACTTTCCATGGTAGTTCATACCTCAGAGGTTATCTTACCTAATACTTGTCAATATATTAGATGTGTCATCCCAAATAAGCAAGAGCCATTGGCTGGGGACCCCATAGCCGTCTTACCGTAGATTTAAAGAACAACGGCCAATGTAAACAATATTTAGTGTGCCTGACTGATACCTAATTATCTTGATATTGAATTATCAGTAAAACCTGAAAGGTTTTAAATACCTGATATTGATAAGAAAGTCATTATCACTGAGCATTTACTTACTACTTGCCCCAATTTCAGTTCATTACATGACAGTGAGATTGATTGCTTATGAAATCTTTAGTCCTCGTCTCACAATTAATTGATATCTAATCAATATAGGTCAACATGGTGAAACTCCATCTCTACTAAAAAAGGAAAAAAAAGGAAAAAAAGGAAACCTGGAGCTTTCTGGGGTGCAGGACCCTGAAGCTGGCTCTCAGGCTGCCATGAAGGAGGTGAAAGTGCCTCTTTTCCACGTGGATTCTATTTATGTGAATTTCTTTAAAGCTGGGAGGGAGTTGGAGCTCCTCCTGGGAGAATAGAACCTTCAGACCTGTCTGAAGCTGGCTCACGTGGGAGGAGAGAATTAGTGGCAGCTTAGGGGGTAAACATGGTATCACCAGTTTGCACTGCCCTGAGCTGGGAGCAGGGTAAGAGGAGCCCTGGAGTCCTGGCCTTCAGGGAGGTCACTGGTGAGCAGGACAGTGACCCAGGGCGGCCCCGGAGCTCAATGGACAGCTCCCCAGGCCAGGTCTGCACACCCTGAGCAATGATTCGAGGACAGTGTTCACAGGGTGGACTTCTGGACCTGCCTGCTCTGGAGTTGAGTCCCAGCTCTGCCACTCACCAGCTGGGCAACCTCAGTTAGGTCGCTTTACTTCTCTGAGAGTGTCATGTAACATGGAGATCAGGGACTCTCAGTGCATGGCCCCCACTTCCAGGTTCTCCATCGTATATGCTGAGTCTGAATTGGAATCTAGACCTAGTCGGGGAATTTGGGTATCTTTTTTGTTGTTTATTATTGATGCATAATAGTTGTACATGTTTGTGGGGTACAGTGTGATGTTTCAATGCATGCATTGTATAATGACTAAAGCGTGGTAGTTTAAAAAAACGTGGAATGCTTCACAAACTTTTGTGTCAATCTTGAGCAGGGGCCAGGCTAATCTTTTCAGTATTATTCCAATTTCAGTCTATGTGCTGCTGAAGGGAGCCCTCAAGTGTCTTTATGGAAAGGATCGTAGGTGTACAAGGCCACATGTCTCAGGTCTCGGGGGTGTTGATTTCCTGATTTCAGAGGAGAGAGACATCTGTATAGGGAGGCTAAAGCTTGCAATACCTCTATTGAGCACCTACTGTGTGCTGGAGCCTGTGGTGTCCCTGGAGATGCAAGCCATAGATGGGCTGTGCCCCTGATTTCCAGGAATCACCCCTGATTGGGGACATGGGTGTGGTGAAACTTCTAGGACTCCAGGCTCTGTGTTAGGAAGTGGGATAGAGCATGAGGCAGGACCAGCTGGGTTCTGATAGAAGGGATCCTCCAGGAGGGCTTCCTGAGATGGGCCCTGGTGAATGGAACACAGGTGCCTACAGTGGTGAGTAATAGAGGCAGGGGTGTAATGGGAACGTAAGGTGGTAGGTTGGGAACAGGAGAGATGAGGCTGAGATGTCAATTAGAGCCGGCTCACAATGGTCCTGGTGTCAAACGAAGAGGTGGGCTTTATCCTGGAAGGATACTTGTGTTTCCAGCACGGTGTGTCTGGAGTCCCCAGGACCACCTCCTTGTGCAATGATTGGCCAGGAGTGCTCGTGGGACTCAGCATGCAGTCACACTCATGGCTATGATTCATCAGAGCGAAACTATACACAGTAAGGCCAGCAAAGGGAAAAGGCTCCTGGGTGAAGTCTGGGGAAGACCAGGCACAAACTTCCAAGGGTCCTCTCCCAAAAAAGTCATACAAGTAGTGCACAGTTGCCTCAGTCACAGGTCGGGACAACGGTGTGAAATGCTGTCTCTCAGAGGAGTTCATTGGAGACTCAGTGCCCAGAGATTTTATTGGGGGGATGGTCACATAGATACCCTTGGTCTAATGCTTACTAAATGTCCAGACTCCCAGAGGGAAAGCAGGTGTTTAGCTTAAACCAAGCTGTTTGCACAAACATTTTGGGCTGAGTAAGCCGCTCACATTGGTTAGGATGGGGACCCTTCTCTCATCTACATTCCCAGACACCAGCCAAGGACTAGCTTGCAACAGGCCTTTTTTAGAATGCCAGTGCCTCACACCTGTAATCCTAGCACTTTGGGAGACTGAGGTGAGCAGATTGCCTGAGCTCAGGAGTTCGAGACCAGCCTGGGCAACACGGTGAAACAACATCTCTACTAAAATACAAAAAATTAGCCAGGTATGGTGGCGTGCGCCTGTAGTCCCAGCTACTTGGGAGGCTGAGGCAGGATAATCGCTTGAACCTGGCAGGCAGAGGTTTCAGTGAGCCGAGATGGTGCCACTGCACTCCAGCCTGGGCAACAAGAGCGAGACTGTGCCTCAAAAAAAAAAAAAAAAAAAAATGGTAACGCCATCTCTTTTCTGCCCACAGGGGCACTAACATGGTGAGGTCTGCCTGGAAACCCATGTGAAAGGTGGATTGGTGGTGGAGCCAGGACAAACTGGAGGCAGGGAGGTCAGTGAGGAAGCCTAACAAGCGTCTTCTAGAGAGAAGATGAGGCCGGACCTAGGGCAGCTGTCTTTGTTAGGTTTTTGGTTGTATGACCCCATGTCAGAGTGGCTCAGGAAAATCAAGGAGTATTTAGTACATGGATTCAGGCATGTTGCAGAACTAACTCAAAGGCAAAAATCCCACTACACTCCTCAGGAGATCAGATTTGGCATTTGTACCACCACTGTCAGAAGGATGGGCTTCTCTTGGTTTTCTCTCCCTGGGACCACGGGGTTTCTCTTTCAGCTTCCCTGTGCATCCTCTGCAGTCCCCTTTCTCTGCAGATTGACTTTCTTTATGTTTTGACACAGTGGCTGCCAGACAGAAAAGCTTGATCCCTCTCATATTTACACATTCTCTCTTCCTGAGAGCATCTGGGATTCACACCAGCATCTCTCAAGGGCTATTACAATTTCTTGCGAGAGAGAATCTGATTGATGTGCAATGGATTAGGCATCCTCTTGCTTCAAATTAGCTAACACCAGGGACTGAGAATCACATAGTGTTAGCATGGTTGTCCCATGAGTTGGGACAGGAGCTGAGAAAGAAAGTGGTCTCATGGTCCCTGGCTACCAGGCAGTGATCAGTCATTTGAGATAAATCTGACGCATCGGTCATTTGAGATAAATCTGACGCATCTGAGTTCAGTGAGGGAGATAAAGAAAGAAACTGAAAAATTAGGAGGGTGTGAATCTGACATCGTATCAGTAGGTAAATTTTAGAAAAACTTTCTTCGGCAATGATCATAAAATCAATGGTAGTTATAACTTTTTTTTTTTTTTTTTTTTTGAAATGGAGTTTTGCTCTTGTCACCCAGGCTGGAATGCAATGGTATGATCTTGGCTCACTGCAACCTCCACCTCCCGGGTTCAAGCGATTCTCCTGCCTCAGCTGTAAGAGTAGCTGGGACTATAGGCGCGTGCCACCACGTCAGACTAATTTTTGTATTTTTAGTAGAGACGGGGTTTCACCATGTTGGCCAGGCTGGTCTCGACCTCCTGACCTCATGATCTGCCCACCTGAGCCTCCCAAAGTGCTGGGATTACAGGCGTGAGCCACCACATCCGGCAGCTAGTTATAACTTTGACAGCAGGTTCTGCTCTCCAGTGGAACTCATTCTACTCCTTCTGTTCTGGGAGTTCCGAGAATGAAGTGAGAGATCAGGAATACACGAGCCATTCCCCTCACCCTCACTATATAACACTTACTAATGGGTATTTTACTAGGGACAGCAAGGCAAAGAAGTTGGATGGCTTCTGCAAGTTCACACAGCGTGTCCTTAGAATCACACAGAATCTCTCATTCATTTTATCTACAAACATTTACAGAGTCCCTAATGGGAGAGTGTTGATCTTTGGGGCAGGTGCACAGAGATGAGCAAATGTGCTCTCTACTTTGGAGAGTTTAATCTCGTTAAAGACACAAGTGTGAACATTCGAGGTGATGAATATCCCATTATCCTGCTTTGATCATTATACATTGTATGCAGGTATCAGAACATCACATATACCCCCAAAATACATACAACAATTCTATGCAAATAAAAAATCATATGAAAAAGACACAGGTGTGTAAATGGTACATGATTAGTGACATAACAGAGGAGAATCAGTTAGGGATTGTGAGTTGAAAGCAATGTAAATGAACTTTGGGTAACTTAAGCAAGAAAAGGAGGAATTCACTGGAAGTACGTGGAGTGACTCATAGAATTAACGATACACTGCAGCGCCAGGCTTTGGAAAGCTCAGGAAAGTGAGTTGTCCAAGGATCCAGTGAGCAGGAAAGGATGGACGGTTTCTTCAGGACTCCAGTTTCAGGAGCAAAGGTCACCCCAGTCATTTTCCATCTTGGATCACTTGCTGGCAATTTAAGGCCCTGCAAGATAATCTGATTGGTCTAATGTGGACCATCCCCTAGCTTTTTCAAGGTCTCTTGGCTGATGGCACTACCAAGGCTCTATCCATAGGAAAAGGAGTAGCCCCCTATAGAGATCTGCATCCTGTAACTAAGACAAGACAAGGAGAGATGCTGGGAAGGACCGGTCAAGACTCATGGTTGGCTCCAGTATCAACACTCTTCCATATTAATTGAGTTTTTTTTTGTTGTTTTTTGTTTTGTTTTGTTTTGTTTTGTTTTGAGATTGAGTTTCGCTCTCATCACCCAGGCTGGAGTGCAATGGTGCAATCTCAGCTCCCTGCAACTCCCGCCTCCCAGGTTCAAGTGATTCTCCTGCCTCAGCCTCCCACGTAGGTGGGATTACAGGTGCGCACCACCACGCCCGGCTAATTTTTGTATTTTTAGTAGAGATGGGATTTCACCATGTTGGCCAGGCTGGTCTCAAACTCCTGACCTCAGGTGATCCACCCGCCTCGGCCTCCCAGAGTGCTGGGATTATAGGCGTGAGCCACCACTGCTCCTGGCCATTAGTTGAATTTTCTAGATGGGCCTATGACCAAACATTACATTGCCCGGCATTCCTTGCAGGTAGGCATGCCTGTGTCACTGGGTCCTGGCCAGTGTAATGGAAGTAGAGTGCCATGTGGCAGTTTCTGAAAATTTTTCTTAAAAGGGAGCGGAATCCTTTGTCACCTCCTCTTTGATTCCTGCCCACTCCATCTTATGGCATTGGATATGCTCTGATGGCTGAAGTTCCAGCCACCATCTTGTGCTAAGAGCCCGAGAACCACACCCCAGAGAGAATTGAAGAAAAAGGCCAGAGGAGCCTGGATTCCAGAAGATTGTGTAGTTGCCTCCCAACCCTGGGCTTTTATGTGGAGGCATAACTAGGAGGCATAACTACACTTCTATTCTGTTTAAGCCATGGTTGTTTGAGGGACTCTGTTACTTGCAGCTGAACCAAATCCTAAGAGATCCAGCAGGCAAAATGCTAGATGCCTGCAACAAGAGGTTGTTACAGTTTGCTGCTGGAACCCAGAAGAGAATGTGATAAAATCTACTTGGAAAAGGTCAGGGAAGGTTTCATAGAGGAGGTGACATTTGAGCAACGTCTATGAAGGAACTGGGTGTTCCAGGCTGGGAGGGAAGGATGGCAGGTCTACTCATCTTCCTTCACTCCCTCGAGACCTGGTGCGTGAATTTGAGAGTCACTCCCTTCTGGCTCTGTGTGATGTTCTCACAGTCTCCATGACTAAAGACCACATTGTGGGGTCCTGGAGAAATCAAGCAATTTACCGAAAATGGAGGGAAATTTGGGCTCAGTGACATCTCAGTTCTTCTGGGAAGAAGCCAGTTTCCGATTGCATCTCCACAAGTCTGACAGAGTAGATGTCTCAGTGGGACTGAGTGTGTACATGTGTTTGTGTATATGCCCCTGGGTGTGTGTGTGTGTGTGTGTGTGATTGGAGAGCACTCTGGAAGTGTACCTTTAGCCTGATCTTTATTTGCCAAAACCCAGATCGATATTTTTTTGCCAGTTAATTTAATTTCTCTTAGGTGAGAAGACATTACGCTCAATACCTCTTTGGCAGTTTCTGACAGTAA